AAAATTCCCAGAAAATTCCCATAAAGGTTCCCTTTTCTCTAGAAAATTCCGGAGAGAAATGGATAGAGAAGGGGAGAGAGTTGGGGATGAAGAGAGATTAAGAGACAGAAAGGGAGGAGAAGGTACCTTTGGGGACGATTTTGCAAGAAACTTGGTATTGAAGCCTTTTGCAGGAAAATGATGGGAGGAAAGCAAGAATTGGGGACGGAACCAAAGAGGAACAAAAGTAAAAAATTTCTGGAGAGAGGTAGAAGTGTTTGTTCGAACTTTTAGGGAAAAACAAAGTTGAATTAATAATAAAATATTATTAGATATATTAAATAATATAATATTATAATTTGTTATTTTATTTAGATTTTTAGTCCGACACTACACCAAACGCTTCACTAAGTTAGTCCAGTTTAGTCTAATCTAAGAAAGTCTAGCTTAGTCCCTGAAGCTAATCCAATCCGAGATAGTCCGGTGCAACAAACGCACCCTAACAGGCTCAGTGAATTGAGTAAAATAAACTTAACAAAATATCTCCTAAGGCATCTAAATCATTCTAGGAAGTTAAAGGCCCATTCCACCTTGAATCCATCTTTTCAGCCCTGCATGTAAAACTCTGACCAGGGGTTTGTACTATGGTTCGGAACATTTATCGTTGCCCAAAGCCTCTGACAAAACCCTAAAAGTTGACCAGTTTTGCTCAACCAAAGTTTTTTGGTTGGGTAAAGTGTCTCGACCTGACGAAAAATGGTTCATCGGGCAAATGATAATTTCTAATAGTGTATGGAGTTTGATGAATTTTTATAGACTCTCAAATCCAAATGCATTGAAAATAAAATTTTAAGGAGTCAATAAAATGTAAGAATATGTTTAAACTCTCATAGATCAAAATTTAGTTAATAAATCACAACATTAATACAAACTAGAACGGCTCTATAAGAGCACAACAGAAGATCTATAAGGACGCTATAAGAGCAAGATAAGGGATCCACGACAGCTCTAAATCTAAACCTTGTAATTCAAATAAGAATGAAAAACACCTGTAGAGATCGATGAACTAGGCCATATAGTCGATAGTGGTCCTTCTCCTCTCTGTCAAAAGCTCGATGCTAAACTACTAAGAGGTTCTTGGTTCAATAATTAAGCATATCTTTGGTGAGAGTAGAGGCTACTATGTATATACAAACAATTCCTCTGATTCTTCTATTCGAATCCATGCATGTATGAAACTGATAATCTTTCAGACTGACAATCCGTGTAATTCGTCTATATCAGTAAGAACAAAATAGCCGGCCTAAAGATTTAGACTCATGATCAAATTCTAACATAAAAGTCACCTTGCCATGGTGGTTGTCGGAGTTTGTTTGAGTAATTTTTCACTAATCCAACTATATACATGTTTATTTATTTATTTATTTATTCAACAAAACAAATTATTGTTCATGAGACTAGAACTTAGGACCTCTTTCATATGTCGCCAAAGCAAATGATAATTCACTTATCTAACTAAACAAAGTAATACTCTAAAGAAATGGTATGGTGTACAATTCATAACTGTCTAGTCAATAGAGGAGAACCTGCTTCTTGCCTAGATGTACTTAATGCTTAACTTTTTTATGCATTAACAAATAGCTAGGTTGAAGTTCATTAAGAACCCTGGATGTTTCTCCTGTAGATTAGACTTTTGTTTGTGCAATCCAGCTTTGCAAATGAAACAAACAAACATAGTAACTTGTGAGCTGCATTGGTTTCTAAAAGTTAGAAAGTTGCAGCGCCCTCTCTATATTTAATGAACATATTTTAGTAGGATACTTTGTCCAAAATTTCAAAAAGTGGAAACTTAAACCATTTGCATCCTTTGATAAATCTACCATGAACTGAATTAAATAAAATCCATTGACAGACAGTAGTGCCAACAGCATATTATCGTCTGTTTTAAACAAAGATTTAGTTAGTATAAACCCATTTTTCTAATGGACAATGATTCTCCCCTATGGAGTGTGGGAAAAGAAAGGAGTTGAAAAGGAAAAAAGTTGTGCTACTAATCTATAATTATTTCCATAAAGTAGGGAAAACTTGTCTTAATGCATGTTGACCTCGTAAAGTAATTAGATTCTGCCATTTTACTACCGTTTGCCTGTTAGAAGTATTTCCAGATTAAAGATGTTTGTCAACTGTCTTAGTATAGGGTTTGTGTTAATGATAATTATGATAATTTAGTCTATATTTACTTTTTGGAAGAGATCGTGAGTTTAAATTTCGTAAATAATTGTTGGTTGATAAAAAAAATTAATGAGTGGGAAGTTTTTATTAGAAAATCTATAATTGCATGCATTCATAAACAATTAACACTGAAGTTTTTTTTAATTGTGATTTTTCTTGCTATGTGAATTGTCTCGTATACATTAATCTGTGCAGAACAAAAAATGTTCTAGTTATCAAATTTGCATAAAATTTTCACAAGGGTAAAGAAAGAAAAAACAAATAAAAAGTAAAGCAGAGAAAGTTAATGGAAACCTTCTTGCACATCACCATGTTGCATGGATGCTGCATCTTAGTGGTGCATAATGTGCTTTGGACCCTAATCTAATTCTCTATGGAGCCTCTTAGTAAGTAATTGGCGGTTCTTGTTATCAAATTTATCACAATCAAACCAGGATTTATTCCTGTGCCACTTTCTGAGTGACCAACTACAAAATAATTTGGAACAAAACAAAGAGTTAAACTTGTACGTGTATGGATAACAGCATTTGAGGTTAAAGTAGGATCGGAATATGAATTAATCATAATTAAAACTTCTGGCGTTAACTTGCTTGTTGCCAAAGGAAATAAAGGACGATGTGAAAACATTTTTTTGGGTTAATCTAGAGCATTTTCAAAAGCACAGCACTTGATCTTGAATCGGAACGAGATTTCTTCAAGGGGCCATCAAGGTTTGATCTGGAACAAAACGAGACCATAAGCAGTTTCGCGTGGTGGTCTTCGGCTTTGGTGTGGATAATTGATGTGTATTTGTTGTGCTTGTTGATTCTCCACAAGTTTGATGAGTTTGGTATTTACTTCGGCCATTGAGCTTTTTGGTTTTCTCCAATGGTTTGGACTTACTTTGTTTCTCTAAAGTCATCTTTCTTGAAAAGGAGTCTAGTATTTATAAGCGAGAGATTTGTGGGGTTGACTTTCTGATTTGATTTAGTTTGAGCTAATTATTTAATTTAGCACTTAATTAAGTCAGATCTTTAATTTAGAAAATTAAACCCTAAGTGATAGAATTTGACCAAATTAGAGTTAATTCTTCCCTTTCTGTATTTGATTTAATTTAATTAGACTAATTGATTTAATTTAGTCACTAATTAATTCAGAATAAGTAGTTTAAGTATTAAACCATAATTGAGGGATTTTTCTTTTTGAACAAGCGATATTATCTACATTAAGGGAGGGGGAGGGGGTGTGCTTAGCCTCACAATGGGCTAGCAGTAATGTGGTTCAAATGCGCATTTGGCGAAAATCGAACCTAAGACCTCTCACGTACAAGTGAAGATGAATACTACTAGACCGTAGCACTAGGTAGCATAATTGAGGGATTTAAACCATAATTGAGGGATTTGATCAATTAGGATTAATTTGCAGTTTTTTTTTTCTTGATTTGATTTGTTTGGTGGATGTCTCAGATGTTGACATGTGTTACTCTTGATGACTCATCCGACTATGATGAGTCACATGCAATGTGTGCAATTTGACAAAAAAAGAAGTTTAAATTTTTTCCAATTTCACTCTCCTCATAAGCTAAATATAGTTGGCAACTATTCGCATAGCTGTTTTAAGATGAAACATAACTAGTCTCTAAAGTTTGAGTGGTTTTAGGTTAGAATAGCTAAAGCAATATAATGTGAGTTTAACCAGTCCCTTAGAGATGCTTAGATCGACTTCAGAAATGATGTATGTGATTATTCATTTTTAATTAACACTACTTTTTTGGGACGAGTAAGTTTTCTCCACTTCAATCTGGTATTACAAATTAATCCACACATAAACATGTGTGTTATTAATTAACACTGCTTTTAAGTCTATGACATTATTATGTTCACTCATATTATAATATGTAGATTAAAAACATCATGGGACGTAAGTGGTGATTGCCATGTTAGATAAAGTTTTTCTCTTTTAACTCGTTGCATCTTTCATATCCACTTTTTTTTTTTCTGTTTTTTTTACAAATGATATATTTATACTAAGAAAAATGGATAATAAATTGATATCAAACTTGTTATTTACGATTACTTGTCATTTAAGAGTTAGCTTAATAGTAATATCGTTTGATATTAAAATTATGAAAAAGATAATAAAATTATGAAAAAGAAACGTCATGTCACCGCTAAAAAAATTCTAGTGATTTTGGTTGGCGTCTGTAATGAATGTGAACAGATAAAACTTTTAAAGGTGGGGGTTCGGTATGGAAAGTAAGAAAGTTGGCATTTGGCAAAAGGTGATGGAAGGAGAGAAAAAAGTTCCCATACTTTTCCCCTTGTCTCTTCCATATAACAAATCCAGGTTGGTGATTTATGCACAAATCTTTTTGGAAATATAAGTTATTATAGTATTATTGTTTATTATATATATATATATACACACACACATACACACAAACACACACACACACATATATATATATATATATGTATGTATGTCTTGGTAGCAATATTGTATATACAATCAGAAATTCATTAAGATTTATAAGAAGAAAAAGGGTACAAGTGACAGATAGAGAAAGCTGGAGGCTGGATGGAAGCCAGTTCTTCGTTCTTACGGTTTCCTGCTTCTTTTCACTTGTTAATATCATGTTTAGAAAATGAGCACTAGAATGTAAACCAGAAAAAAGAAATTGTAATACTTGAAAAACTTTAATAGTGGTTAAGGTGTATCCATCAATCAAGAAAAATTCATTAACTAATGATTGGAAAAAAAAAGATATTTTTCTTTCACAAACTAGGGTTATTCTTTTGTTTTCAGCAATATTCTTTTCAGTTTTTGGTGTTGCTGTTTGATTTTTGCTTTATTTCTGGCCGCTACCCACAAGCATAGATTCCTCTCTCTCTCTCTAGATGTTGTCTGTGTCTGTCTGTCTATGTTGCAAGAGCTCTCTCTCTCTAATGAATGGATGAATGTGCTCAACTCTGGCATGGATTCTCTCTGCTCTCTTCCTACTTTTGTCCCTTTCTTTAGCTCTCCTTTTCATTGATGCTTTGCTTTGCTGTGCTTTCTCTCCTTTTGAGTTTCTAGGCGGTTTTTGGCGTAGCTGGTATGCATTGCACACTGATCTTAATAGTGACAAATGATGCATATTAACACATGTTTTATTCCATTTTTCTCACTCTTCCCCCCAACCCCATTTGCCTATAAATACACTCTCATTCTGGGTTTTCTACATTGCAGTGCCTTCTCCTAGCTTGTTGCAATAGAGCGGCCTGTTTAGCGCAGCAGCTTACCCGAAAAACACACAAAGATGAGCTATACGCATTCTAACATGTCTTCTGGTTGGTTTCCTGCCCATCATATATATAGCATTAGCACCTTTCATTGTCTAAATTTGTTCAAGTCTATATATCTTTACTATATTTCATTCAATTGTTAGGTAACTCAATTTCCAGTTTTTGCTGTCTTAAGTTTTGTGTTCTTATTATTGATTTCTACTAGTGCAATGAACGGTGATTTTCTTGGTCCATATCCTTGAAAAAAGAGAATTGTGGCAGCATAAACCTGTATAGTTGCTGAGTAGCCACTTTTTGTTGACAAAAATTTCAGGTAGCAGAACTGCTAAGAGAATTGAGTTTGGTAGGACACATGTGGTGAGGCCCAAAGGAAAGCATCAAGCAACAATGGTCTGGCTGCATGGACTTGGAGATAACGGCTCAAGGTACTGTTTCTCTGTCCCTTTCTATTCCTTTGCTCTGTTTGTGAGTGATATACCGTACGTTGTTGCGGTTCTGTATCTGATAGGCCTTCTCTTGAAGATACTCTATCCAATGTTGTGGCACATAGAGAAGTTCTTCCAACTAATGTTGTGGCGCATAGAGCAGACAACCTGAATACCATATAAGTTTCCTACTCAGCAGTTTACAGTAGTAATCCTCAGTTAAATAGTTAAGTTCATAATCGAATTTGAGTATCAAGTGTGCTTTTCCATTACACCGCCAAACTACATCATTCTCCATTTCATATTAACTTTATCATAAGACAGGTTTTTTTCTATATTTGGTGTTTATAACCTGATTTATTATCACCGGTCAATATAATTCTTCATTCCTTCCCTTTTGTATGAAGTACACGTCCTTTAATGGAAGGATGAACTTTTTGGTTTTTTCGTATATGAGAAAAATGAATCGTGTTTCAGGAAATGTCAACACCTGTACATACTCTATAACTTGAAAAAGGAGGGCTCCATTATACATCTTTTCAGCATCTTTTCAGTGAGGTTCTCAATCGAATAAATTCGATTAAGAGAGCAGTAGCACCGTGAGATTATATGATATGATAAATGTCCCTTTCACTTCTAATCTGATCCATGGCAAACTTAATTTGGGAAGCCTTGATTTGGAAATAGTATATGCCAAAGTCATTACTGGGGGACCGCTAGTTTACTTTGTTCTCCAAGTGGGTAACCAGAAATACACTTAATTTGTTTACTGATATGCTTTCTAAGTATTGATTATTCTTACTTGATCAACACATGAACTGGTTCCGTTCCTTTTATCCTCGATACAATTCTGGACTTTTTACCGCACTTGTGCTTTCATTGCTTGTGTTGATGCTTTCTCAACTAGTATGCTGTCATGTTCAAAAGAGCTGCACAGGCTTCACCTGCTGTTTCAATTTATTTTAGCCGTTGAAGTTTCTGCGTGTTGAATAATGTAAGAGTTATATGTCTCATGTTATGCTCCTTCTCTCTGTAGCACATCTCAAATGTTGGAATCTCTACCACTTCCAAATGTAAGCATATATGTCTCTCCAACTATTTTGTAAGCTTAAGAATTTGTATTTCTGTTCGCACATGCTTATATCTCTCTACTTTGTTCAACCTGTGCGTTAATTACCTTTGGTAATATATGAAACAGATTAAGTGGATCTGCCCAACTGCTCCTACCCGTCCTGTGGCTGTACTAGGTGGATTTCCTTGCACTGCATGTAAGATTATATTTCGGTTAGATGAAGAAGTAGTTTGCTTTGCACTTCATACTCTCATGAGTCATAACCAAAGAAAAGAAAAACTAAATTTCTTCAGATGAAATCCAGTATCTGGTGGTGCTTTGATATTGATAATAATCTTCTGAATTATTCGATTCTTTTTCAGGGTTTGAAATGGGAGAGCTTTCAGATGATGGTCCAGATGATTGGGAGAATTTAGATGCTTCAGCAGCGCATATTGCGAACTTGTTGTCAACTGAGCCAGCTGATGGTGCGTTCAGTTCTAAACTACTTTAAAATTATTAACTTCCTGGGATTCTTTTTCCTCCGTTTCTTACAAATCATCATTGTTAAAACGTGCACAAGTTTTCAAGAAATTATTCCGAGTTTATGCAGGTTGTTTTCATTTCTGAATGTTTGAAATGTTTATCACGTTTTCTTATGGCAGTTAAAGTCGGTATTGGAGGCTTTAGCATGGGTGCTGCAATGGCCCTTTACTCTGCAACTTGTTATGCTGCGGGTAGGTACGGAAATGGCAACCCATACCCTCTCAATCTGAGGGCAGTTGTTGGACTAAGTGGCTGGCTTCCAGGAGCAAGGTATGACTTTGTACCCGTTGATCCGAGTATCAATATCAAAAGACTTCCATGTCCGACAATTAAAAGGTTTGCAACTTTGTGCAGGAGCTTATGGAACAAAATAGAAGGTTCACACGAGGCTTTGAGGCGTGCCGCATCATTACCCATTTTGCAATGCCATGGAACCAGTATGTCTCCATAGAACTTTTTTTGCCAATACTGCAGTTTGCATTTATTTGAACAGTTTCTAGGTCACTTGATATATGTCACACACCAGAAGCCAGTATGCTGCACTGTAGATGATCGACAATCAGTATGCGAAACTGATCACACATTTTTTGTAGGTGATGGTGAAGTAGCCTACAAATATGGAGAGAAATCAGTCCAGTGCTTGACTTCAGCAGGATTCCGATACCTTTCGTTCAAACCATTTGAAGGGTAAAGATTCATTTCCATAAGAAAAACATACTCAAATAACATATCTTGTTCAAACCCTTATGAGGTTTAAGCAGATTTTCTGAGTATTTCGTTTAACATTTCAGGCTCGGCCACTACACTATCCCTAAAGAGATGAATGAGGTCTCCAGTTGGCTTTCTGCACGGCTGGGGCTTGACGGGTATCGCTCATAAATCTGACAGTTTCCGCCTGGAGCTAATGAGGAAGTAGTATGTATCTAACAATAATGAATGAGAAACGCACATGTACAAGTAGGCGTTATAAAAAATGGGGCATGGAGTATATGAGTACAGCAGCTAGATTGACCTTTCTAATTCCCATTTGTGTTCTGTTCTTCCCTACAAATAAAGTTTTGGGTGTGATATTTGTATACCACTTGTAGGCAGTAGTGAGTAGGGACTGAATTTTGGATGTACTTTGTTTTGGTATTCATTAATGTATTATTGTTATTATTATTATATTATTTTACGAGTTTGTACTTTTATTTTTTGTATTTTGATAGAACGATATTGCAAGAGGAGCATGCAAGTTCATCATAAGAGTGAAAGCAGATTGCAGCAACAGAGTAATTGCAAGTTTGCACTCAAGTAATGACTGCTTGTTTTTTGATACAACGATATGACCGAGCTTTGCAATGGCATCAAGAAATAGCACTGCCTTTTAGAACAAGGCTTACCGAACTTCTGGCAATACAGAGGTAGTCTTTGGATGAATTTGCGGAAGTTGGAAGCCGATCAGTAGCTTTGTCCAGTTATTCTGCTCAATGCTGTAAGCTGTAAGCAGATTGTCCATAATCAGCTCTGAAAAACATCCGAATCGTGCCTCGTACCAATTGTTCTTGTTGGTAGCTCCATCATCATTCCCAATTTCACTAGTGCCTTCTTTAGAAGTGTGGTACGGGGTAAGAGGAGGGAAAAAAGGCACAGCGTGCAAAATGAATTTGCGGCCACTTCTCAAGCCTGTAGGAGAGCTCGACCTTAACCTGGATCGGGGATTGTGGAAGTGAGACACGTTTCTTGTTTGGTGAGCTAACCATTACAACCTTGGAAGGGTAAGAAGTTTCCCCAAGTATCTCAGGTGTATCATCATCCATCATGTCATGATGTGCACCAGCAGAACTCAGTACACAGGGAACGTTACCTTCAGGTAACTACTGGGTGGCAATGACGGGTGAACAGCCCCAGTTCAAGCGTCCAGTATTTGATGGATGCTTACTTGATGGCAGTTGCGCTTGTGGAATTTTCCCAGAGTTTCTTCTACTTGATGAAGCTGAAGAAATCGCTGGACGTGAGGTAGGATTTATCAATGGTGTAAGATTTGCTTATATCAGAAGGTACTTCAAATGTCGGAGAGTTTGATTGATGCTCGAAGCCAGCTTCGCAGTAGGGTGGGGTTCCCACCTTTTAGCTCCGTTATATACTGACTCTGCAATTGTAGGATAACAGAACAAAACCATCTTAAATCTCTATTGTTTCATTGTCTATGCTGCTGAAACACGATAGTCGTACACTCGTATACAAAAAAGAACGAGTGAAGACCAAAAGAGTGAGGTGTATCATATCAAACAAAATCTGACCTGCCATAGTGCCAAAGGTATTTTGGCAATCCTCGCATCGACATCCTCCAAAACAGCCAACTTTAGCCTTCCGGAACAAAAAAGGAGAAAAAAAATGATAAATCAAGTTCCTTGTCCAAATCTAGTTCAATGAACTCGGAGAAACACCATGTTTCAGAAGCAGGAGATATTAGAGTTTGTGTTTTATGTGTTTTTCAATGGAGATCTCTGTGTTGGAGGTTGAAGAACAAAACAGAGAAATGAGAGAGAAGAAGATTGAATGTGTCTCTTCGATTTCACTCTATCTCCAAAAATACATTTGTAACCGTTATGTATGTAGAGGAAGGGAGATCCTTCACTCACCAATACACAACACAATCTCAACCATACATTGCTATCATCCTATGAGATGATGCCACTTGTCTTGTTATATCACTTAGATCCTATGCTAGAGAAGAGACCACTTGGACTATGATCCAATGGCTCAGATTACATCAGCAAGATAAAGCACATAAAAGGAAAATCAAAATTTGTAACTTTAGCTCCAAGATATTAGCTCAAGGGTTATATATCAACACTCCCTTCTAACCCTTTAGCTGATTTCACACCAAGTAGATCTCTTAGGTAGACAAATCGATCTTTTGACAGAGCCTTGGTCAGTATATCTGCAATCTGGTCTTCTGTTTTGCAGTAGACAAGTTCAATCTCCTTTGTTTGGATAGCTTCCCTGATAAAATGAAATTTCCTACTGATGTGCCTAGTTCTCTGGTGTAGAACTGGATTCTTTGCCATTGCTATGGCTGAAGTGTTGTCGCACAGAATTGGTGTGCCTTCCACTTGCTCCTCACCAAAATCTTCAAGCACAAACCTTAGCCATTTAGCATGTGATGTTGCTTCTGCAGCACTGACATATTCTGCTTCTGCAGTGGACAGTGCCACTGTGTTTTGTTTGATTGATGCCCATGAAAACATACCGGATCCAAGTGTAAATGCATATCCTGAGGTGCTTCTCATGTCATCCTCACTTCCTGCCCAGTCACTATCACAGTACCCTATCAAAGTAGTTGTCTTCCCTTTTACAAATTCAATTCCAAAATCAAGAGTGCCCTGAATATATCTCAACACCCTTTTGGTTGTTCCCATGTGTTTCTTTGTGGGGTTATGCATGAATCTAGCAAGTAAACTAGAAGCAAACATTATATCCGGCCTTGTAGCAGTCAAGTATAACAAGCTACCTACAACTTGTCTATATTCACTTTCATTTGCTGCTTCACTACCATCTGTCTTGCATAACTTCTCATTCACAGCCAGTGGTGTTGCTACTGATTTGCAATCTTTCATCCCAAATTTCTCAATAAGCTTCATTGCATATTTTCTCTGGTGGATAAAAATGTTTTTATCTGTTTGCACTACTCCCACGCCAAGAAAATGATGAAGTAACCCCAGATCAGTCATCTCATAATGCTGCATCATGTCATTTTTGAACTCTTCGAGTAGTTTTGGACAACTTCCAGTATATACAATATCGTCCACATGAAACAATAATGATACCTGTAGCTTCACTAGTTTTAACATAAAGTGTTGCTTCACTAGAACTCTTCTTGAAACCTGCCTTGCCGAAATAGGAATCTATCTCATCATACCAAGCTCTCGGAGCTTGCTTCAACCCATACAGAGCCTTGTTCAACTTATACACCTTGGTTTCTTCACTCTCCTTCACAAAACCTTGGCTGCTCAACATAAACCTCCTCCTTCAAAGTTCCATTCAGAAAAGCAGATTTTACATCCAACTGATATAGATTCCATTCCTTCTGTGCAGCAAGTGCTATCAAGGTCCTAATAGTATCTAATCTTGCAACTGGGGCGAATGTTTCATTGTAATCTATCCTAGGCTTTTGGGAATAACCTTTTGCCACCAGTCTGGCCTTGTTTTTCTGCACGGATCCATCAAGGTTCAACTTGGTTTTATAGACCCACTTAACACCAATGATTGGCTTGTCAAATGGTCTATCAACTAGCTCCCATGTGTTGTTCTTCTCAATCATTTCAAGCTCAGATTTCATTGCATTTTCCCATGACTCATCTAGAATAGCATCTTCATAGTTTTCAGGTTCTACAATGCACATGTTACACTGAGCCATGATCTCATTTACACTTCTCCATTTCTGTGGTGTGTGATCAGTTGTTTGAGAACTTTCGAAAACATTCTCACTTAGTGATGCAACAACATCCTCCACTTGAGTTGATGTATCCAAGAATTGTCTTGGTTCACATACTTCCACTTGATTCTGTCTTTCACTACAATCTTCCATTTGATTCTCAATAATCATGGGAACTTGTATTTCACTCTTATCAGTGTTCTCCCACTCCCATGAAGCATTCTCATCAAAGTGTACATCTCTAGACAGGATGATCTTATTAGAACTTGGATCAAACACTCTGTACCCTTTTTCACAGATTCCATAGCCTACAAAAATACACTTGCAACTATTTTCTTCAAGCTTATGCCTTAGTGTTGAGGGAATGTGCACATAGCATAGTGACCCAAAGATCTTCAAGTGTGCAATGCCTGGTTTTCTACCAGTGTATGCTTCAAATGGAGTTATCTTCTTGAGGGACTTTGAGGGACATCTATTAAGTATGTAGACTGCAGTGTTCACAGCCTCTGCCCAAAATGCATAAGAAAGACCCTTTTCATGCATCATAGACTTTGCCATTTCCACCACAGTCCTATTCTTCCTCTCAGCTACTCCATTCTGTTGAGGAGAATATGCCATGGTTAATTGCCTTTGAATTCCAAGCTCATTGCAGTAACTATCAAATTCAGTTGATAAGAACTCTCCACCCCGATCACTCCTTAGACATTTCACCTTATATCCACACTGCAACTCTGTCATTGCTTTAAACTTCTTGAAACAATCAAATGCACTTGACTTGTTTCTGAGAAAATATACCCAAGACATCCTAGTACAATCATCAGTGAACAACAGAAAGTACTTATTTCCAGAGATAGATTCAGTTTGTATTGGTCCACAGATATCTGTGTGAACCAATTCCAAAGGAAATTTTGCTCTCCAAGCTGATTTTGATGGAAAAGACTCTCTGTGTTGCTTTCCTAGCATGCAGCCTTCACACACAACAGAGGTTTTCTCCAAATGAGGCAATCCATGAACCATTTCTTGATCTTCAAGCATTTTGATGCTTCTGTTATTTAGATGCCCCAAACGCTTATGCCATATCTGCATACAGTGTGTCACACTTGCTTTCAAGGCTATCTGATTTGCTGGTATCATTGTAAGAGGAAAACACCTGTTGTTTGTCATCTGCACTCTAACCACAAGATTATCCATTGACCAACCATCGAAGATACTCACAATATTTCCTCCAAACAATAGATAGTACCCGTGCTCCATCATCTGTCCAACACTTAGCAGATTCTCTTCAAGTCCAAGAACAAGCATCACTTCTTGAATGTGCTTTCTTCCCAATTTGGTCTCTATAACAAGAGTCCCCTTTCCTGCAACCTAAACAATCTCTCCAGTTCCCATCTTCACCCTGGAAGTCAGATTCCTTTGGATGTTGATTAGTAACCTTTCATCACCTGTCATGTGGTTACTACAACCACTATCAATGTACCATGAATGATTCACCTTCACATCTGTCATAGCATTGCATGCATAGAACAGGGTACTAGTTTCTTCAACATGGTTTACATAGTTCACCTTCTGTATATTTTTGTTTCCATGGCAGTCTCTGATCACATGCCCAAGTTTCCCACAACCTGTGCATTTTGGCTTCCCTTCAAACCAACATTTGCCATAATGCAATTTATCACAATGTCTACAAACTGTCTTGTTTCCATCATTAGAGACATTTGGTCTTTGAACAAAATTTGGCTTATTATCCCACTTCTTTCCTTTGAATTTCCAGTTTTTCTGAAACTTTTGATTTCCAGAATAACCTATTCCCTTAGAGTTTTTACCTCCAACATTTAGACTAGCAAAAGCTCGTTCAGTAGAATTTTCAGCATGTCTATCCAATCTGAGTTCAAAACTTTTCAGAGAAGCAACTACCTCTTGAATCTCAAGAGTTTCAAGGTCCTTAGAATGTTCAATTACGGAGCAAATAGGATCATATGATCTAGGCAAACTAATCAACAATTTTTGCACAACTCTCTCTCTAGACAGATCCTCACCATAACTCTTCATTTGATTCATTATATCAAACAATCTAGTGAGATATACAGATAAGGATTCACTATCTTTCATGCGAGTATATTCAAATTCTCGACGCAAACCTTGCAATTTTACGCTCCTTACTTGCTTATCTCCTCTGAACTCTTGCTTCAGAATGTCCCAAGCACCCTTTGAGGTCTCTTCGTTCACAATTCTGGGGAAAATTTGGTCTGAGACAGCACCTTGGATCAACCCAAGTGCACGAGCATCCTTCATCAGGATTTCAGCTAACGTCGGCTTCTCCACTTCCGTGACCTCGATCTCTTCTATCTTCTTCTTCTCCTTCTTTGGATCTGAAGCATCGAACCCATTTTCAACGAGATCCCATAACCCATGAGATTTCAGAATGGTTTTCATTCGAATGCTCCAGAACTCATAATTTTCTCCATTGAAAACTGGTGTGCGAAGCTCAGCAGTGCCTGATCCTGCCATGTTAGACATCGGATTCAAGAAATCACACCACCTCGATCGTCGTATGAGCTAGATTGCAGCTCGAATCAATTCCAGTTTCCTTTTCACAGATTTACGCCCAGTTTAGATAACCGAACCTGGCTCTGAGGCCATATTAGAGTTTGTGTTTTTTTATGTGTTTTTCAATGGAGATCTCTGTGTTGGAGGTTGAAGAACAAAACAGAGAAATGAGAGAGAAGAAGATTGAATGTGTCTCTTCAATTTCACTCTATCTCCAAAAATACATTTGTAACCGTTATGTATGTAGAGGAAGGGAGATCCTTCACTCACCAATACACAACACAATCTCAACCATACATTGCTATCATCCTATGAGATGATGCCACTTGTCTTGTTATATCACTTAGATCCTATGCTAGAGAAGAGACCACTTGGACTATGATCCAATGGCTCATATTACATCAGCAAGATAAAGCACATAAAAGGAAAATCAAAATTTGTAACTTTAGCTCCAAGATATTAGCTCAAGGGTTATATATCAACAGGAGATACACTGAAGTGAAAGGTAAAAATGTACATATAAACCTGGTACCGTTCACAGTATTTTTCGAGACACTTTGACTTCTTGCAATTGCAACCTCTCTTGTGCCTGGCTGAGGATGTGGTCATCAAGTTCTGGTCTTCCTGTGGACAGTTCTCATGCTCATAATTCTTCCAAATGAACAACACAAAAGAACAACCCATAGTATGACATGGATTACTGTAGAGTTGGCCGAAGAATCAATGGCATTGTCAACAACTTTTGAAGTAAATGCAAGTGGATTACGAGATTCAATGTGATGATGAATCTCAAAAACTGTGTGCTCAAACTCAGGCTTGTTATAGCAGTTTTGACATGCATAAGAATCCAGACAATAAACTCCAACTGAAAAGCACTCACAATAACTGCCAATGATGAGAACACGCTGAGACGAACTGCTAGAATAAACAATCGTTGACTTGTATTTGTTGAATTGTAAGCTCTGAGTTGATTAGAATTAGAAAGAATAAGCTTTGTTATTTAAAGGTGTATTCACCTGAGTTAAAAATACCAAGTGTAAGGCTCATGATGTAAGGCTGACATTGCTATGTGTAAGAATCCTAGAATATAGCTAGAAGAGGGGCTGGGATCACTTTGATGTGTAAAGGATCCCAGCTGTATAACTAACCATTATACAGTGCACGAGTAGAGTGTGCTGAGAGAGAGAAGCATCAGAAATCCTTTTGTGTTCATCACCATTTTTCTTTCATTCTTTGTTTCACTTTCTTATCATTCAAATATAATCATAACACTGTAGAAACAACAACACTATTTCCCTATTTGTCAACAAGTTACTATGGGAAATTTGTTGTTTATAAGCTCAACTGAGATGGTTTTCATGGGGTTTGATGTTTTCTCCTACAAATGTGAGTTTACTTATATTATATTTGATTGTTCTGCTGGTATAATTGTTGTGTTGGTTTATTATAAATGCACATGCTTCTATAATGCTTACTTGGGCTGTTGCAGATGCATATACTTTTATAGAGTTGGTTCCTATTTATGATTTAAGGTGTTTTCTTTATGTATATTGTTTTTATTTTCTCATGCAACCAAAGTTTATTTGCAAGGTTTAACGTTGATAGCTGTTGGAGCTTGATGCGATGTTTTTCTTCCACATGTAGGCAACTTTAGCTTCATCATCATGGGACAGAACAGTTCGGTTGTGGGATGTTTTTGATGGAAAAGGTGCTGTTGAAACAATTACTCATCCACATGATGTTCTTACACTGGTTTACCACCCTGATGGAAAGCAGTTGGCTAGCAGCACATTAGATGGTCAAATTCATTTCTGGGACCCAATTGATGGTTTATTAATGTATACCATTGAGGGCCGTAGGGATATTTCTGGAGGTCGTCTTATGACAGATTGTAGATCAGCTGCCAACTCAAGTTCAGGAAAATTCTTCACAACTTTATGTTATTCAGCTGATGGGAGTTACATATTAGCTGGAGGAAGTAGCAAATACATCTGCATGTATGATGTTGCTGATCAGGTTAGTTTCTTACATGGGCAAGCTTTGAACAGCATAATTCACACTCGATGATGTTTCTCAAGCTTTCATTTTTTGCATTTTCTGTTGCTGTTTCGTTTTCTGGCTGGCACATCAAGACCTTAACATCAAGCTATATGCAGTTATGCACACACACCTCTTGCATCTTTTTTATGCTTGAAGAAACTGCTTGGAAAAGCATGAGCTATATTTTCATTAACAGTTGGGTCTACACATTCTTACATAAGATACTGTTATTTACTTTGATTTATTGCAACTTTAGCCAAAATGTGATGAGGTTTATTAAAAGAGCTGTACAACTTTCCACCTCTTGGCCAGTGTCCCAATGAATTAAGATTTCTCCAAGTATAAGTCACATATTCAGAACATCAAACATCTAATGAGAACTTTGATTAGGGCTGTGCAACTTCCATGGTTACCTGAATACTCCATTTCATTCGAGTTTAGGATGAACTTTAAGCAGTTTGTTGTATATCATTTTTGAAATAATAGGCGTTTTTTTCTAACTTCTGTATGCTTATTTCTTTTGACGTCTTGTATGCATATGCTCTTTGGTAGATTTTTTCTGGCCTTAAACCTGCTACAATCTGCTTGTTTCTACATCAATCATCTAAACTTATTCTTTAGAAAATACACCAACTTTTTTCTCCCAATGCTTTTTTTTTTCCCACAGTTGAGAAATATATCATTGCATTGGTAAAACAACAATGTTTTTAATTCCAGTGTGAGAATGCCATGTAAGTTGGGAAAAGAGAAGTTAGGGTGTATATAATTTTCCTTGTCTGTATTGTATATGTATCGGTGATTGGGTACATCTCCTGTCTGCGTCACTGGGTACCATTGTATTCCTCTAAAACTAACTTGTAGAGGAACTCCACTTCTTCATTATGTTCAAACCTCAAAGTTTTTAGGTCTATTGATGTAGTGAATTTATTTTCGCAGGTGTTGCTGCGGAGGTTTCAAATAACTCACAATGTATCTTTGGATGGAGTTCTTGACTTCTTAAACTCAAAGAATATGACAGATGCTGGACCACTGGATTTAATTGACGATATATAGAAGACGGTGTTGACAAGCAAACCCAGGGAAAGTTGGGTTATGATTTACCAGGATCCATGCCTAACCATGGAAGGCTGGTTGTTAGAACAAAATGCTTGAGAATTGCCCCCACTGGTCGGAGCTTCTCAGCAGCAACAACAGAGGGAGTTCTAGTTTATTCAATTGATGATTCCTTTATCTTTGACCCAACTGATCTTGACATAGATGTCACACCTGAGGTACTTGGTGAAACTTTGAAATATTACAAAATTCCCTCTACTCAGATTACCCATGAAACATTTTTAAAGCTTTGTTTTGTTAAAACTCAGTATGCCACCAGAATACAATTGCTCGAATTAAACATCAATATTTGTCTGATAAAAACATAAACTTAATTGAAGAAAAACTAGGTAGACTGTCCACCTTTGAACCTAGAGGAGGCCCCATGGGCACCTGGAACAAAGGTGCCTCTGTTCCAAAGTTAGGGCTGGTTTGGTATTGCTGTGCTTTGAAAAAAAAACTGTTTTTGTTGTGCTGTAAAAATTAGTTTTATAACTAGGGTTTCAATCAATTCCTCCCTATTATCGTAAAGGATATTCACCCAAATACTATCAAATCAATTAGTCTTACCATGATACTTATTACGACTCCAATATATTTGTAACACTAGGCCTCCGAGAATCCTTAAGCGTATCCATGACTTGTAAGTCAAGTCGTCTTAGTTCTCCATTATTCTCGGCATAACTCATTGTCATTCACATAAGAGTTTTACACAGCACCCTTTCCCCTCTGGTCATCTCACCCCCATATCCTCCTCCTTCCTCTCCCATTGATTGCACTCTTTTCCCTCCGGTTTCATGGCCATCCAAAATTGTGAAAATAAGCTGTTTTAAGTGTTTATCAAACACCTTTTTGAGCTCAGGTTTTTTTGATACCCACTTTTTATAAAAGTACCTTAGTACCAAACCAGTACTTTGGGGAGAGCTACTGGATGACGGTGGCAGGGAGAGTGGATGGGGAGGAGAGAGAGATATAGATTGTATACAAGGGCCTCGTTTGGCAGCTCGGACTGTACTGACTATTTCAGTCGGATAGGATAAATAGTCGTCGGATAATACTGACTAAATTAGTCGGGCGTTTGGTATTGTATCGGATTAATTTATGCATCGGATAATACGTCGGACTATAATATTTTTTTTTTAAATTCACAATAATTGTTGTTAAAATTAAACAAAACAAAAACAAAAGGAAGAAAAAACAATAAAAAAAAAAGAAAAACATAAGAATAAAAAACCCAGGACTCTTCTCAGTCGCACCCTTCTTCTTCACCATCTTCCTCGCGCATCAATCCCACCATCGACGACCGATTGCAGAGGAGTAGCGGCCAGGGTCGATAACTCGGAGCCTATATTCGAATTCTTGTCCCCCTCCTCGTCAGAGCCCAGCTCCCTTCCTTATCGGAGCCCAGATCCGAGTTGCTATCCCCCTCCTCGTCGGAGCCTAGCTCCCTTTCTCGTCATCCTTCTCGTCATTGGAGTCCAGATCGAAAGAATTTGAATCATCATCTTCCTCCTTCAACCCATGGAATGTTTTGTTGTCAGAAATCAAAGGCGAACAAAGAGGTGGGGGTGTGTGTGCAAAGAAGGAGGAAGGAAGAGAGACAGAAAAAAAAAAATGGCGACGAAGACGAACTTGGAAGTAGACGAGAGATAGCAGGTGATGGGACAGAGTTGAAGGAGAGTGCGTGAGAGAGGGACGGAGTGAGCCAGTGTGAGCGAGAGAGATGCACCCGACTAATAATACAGAGGTTTGGGACGGGATAAACAAGCAGGTATGAAGGGGATAAAACAAGTGGGGCCGGATTAAGTAATACGGTGCTTATTTAATACGACGTTCACCAAACATCCGCTTCGTATTATTAGTACTATCCGGTGGTCTTATATGGCATGCCAAACGAGGCCAAGGTTTATAATGGATATTAATGAATTCATGATTGGAAGGCTTGCGAGAAAATTTGGAGGTAAATACTAATAGTGAGACCCTTTGTTAAAATGGCACTAATTTTTTTAGTTTTTGTATATTTCTACCTTCAATTTTGTTTTCTTTTCATTTATTTCCTGATTACATTGTTCTGCAGGCTGTTGATGCTGCACGCAATGAAGATAAATTGAGCAAGGCTTTAATCCTTAGTCTCAGATTAAACGAAGACAGTCTAATTAAAAAGTGTATTTTCAAAGTTAGTCCGATAGACATCCCTGCTGTCGTCTCATCAATTCCGTACAGATATTTGCAAAGGTTAATTGAGGCATTTGCAGATCTGTTAGAAAGTCGCCCACATTTGGAGTTCATACTTCGGTGGTGTCAGGTACTTTTATTGGCTTCCGTTTCTACTGAGTTCAGATGCTGTGAACGCGTTACAGTAGCATTGTTTTCATAGCAGGATCTCACTGATGGTTTGCGTATGTTTTGTCTTGCAGGAGCTCTGCAAAGTTCATGGTAACTCTATTCAACAAAACTCTAGAAAGCTGCTTCCTGCTTTAAAATCCCTACAGACGGCAATAACAAGAACACATCAGGATTTGAAAGAGACATGTTCTTCCAATGAATATATGCTTCAATATTTATGTTAAGCAAGCTCAGGGAAATGAAAAATGTTGCAACGCTGCTAAACACCTCGACAAAATTTTCAGAGTAAAAGATTACTATTTTCATTGCAATGTGTAAAATCAGCTTGCTTGGTTTGGGAACCCTCGTTGCTGTATTGAGATGTTGGAAAATACTTGAGCTGTGAAATTGGGACTCTGAGACAAGAACTGCAGTTTGTCGGCATCATCCGTGCAGGATGGTCTTGCAATCATCGCAGGCTCATGTACTAGTGGCATCAGTTAATGTTGTCTCTCAGATAGTTAGAAGTAGATTTGTTTTGAAACATTGTCCGACCCTAATAACCGTTCCCAACAGAATTAAAATGAAAAGCATCTAAAGCAAAAGGAAGAACATGATGCTCCCACATATGACAACCAGTTATTAGAAGCCCTGACGAGCAAAGGCATCAACAACAAAGTTTGCCTCTCTAAAGATATGGGTCTAAGAGATAATGCTAAATTTGGTCACCATCCATTTAATATCTTCAATGGTATGCTCTAGATTCCATGAAACCGAGCACACTCCTTGCATAGCCTGGATGACTAGCTTGGAATCGCCTTCCACCATGATCTTCGACACACCCTTTCTAAGAGCAAACATTAGGCCCTCTATTAGACCTTTAGCTTTGACTTCGGAAATAGTGGCTCCGTCAAGATTTAAAGCCCCACCAGGCCATTTAGTGGTAAGTGAGAGGTCTTAGGTTTGATTCTTGCCAAAGGCAAATTTGAACCATATTATTGCTAACCTATTGTGAAGCTAAGCACACCCCCTCCTTTTATCGCTTATAAAAAACAGAATAATGAAAAATCATAAATAAATTGGATAGCAACTATAGTTGTTATAATTTCCCTAAATCTTCAATTAATTTTTTTTTTTCTTGATGCTTATGAAAAAGCATTTCTTTGTTTGCAATCAGGTTTGATTTTCACTCCAGTAATGAAAGTTGTTGGCTGACATCTTATTTTAGAGGAGGGAAATAAACAAAGGTGTGTAGGCACGGGCAGATCCACATAGGAACCTGGGTGGTCTCGGGACCCTCCGAAGGATGGGAAAAGCGCATGTGAAGGTCACACCCATTCTCATCCAATCCTAGGCACCAGAACAACTAACTCAAACCCAATTCTCACATGAAAACCAGATATATTGCAGGAGGACGAAAGGAGATGAATAAAAAAGCGAGTTTTATTACTCTTGACATAATAAAATTAGGTTTATTAACTCTAGTGATACATAATCCCACATATTTGTAATCTTTCAGCAACCAAAAAAAAGCTGAGCCTCGTACAATCTTTCATTCTAGCTCCAAATTTCATTCCGTTTGCCCCCATGCGTTCGTATCGACACATACTATCCAAATATGTGAAAAAATGAACATGGGTGAAATGTATCATTCTACCCTCCAAATTCAACAACTTTTTCAGACTTCTTCTCTTGAAAATGTGTCATTCTATCTTTCTACAGGCCAAGGGAACTTCTGCAAAGTCCACAATAATCATAAGAAAATAGTTAGCGGCAATGCAAAACAAGAAATGAAATTTAGTAGCTATTTAGTAGTCATGTTTGTTCGTAAACTCAAGCTATACTCGGTAACATAGAACCCGTTCCTTCATAATTTCTAGTTGAACTACCTATTGAATTAAAATTCCAAGACTTGAAAAGTACAACAAATAAGAAGAGCTTCACTCAACTTACTTCATTCAATATGTAAACTTGAAAAGAAAATTAATACAATCTGTCAGTCACTGCACCTGAAACAGTACTCTACTCCATTCTGGATTACTTTACGTTTTAGCCATTTCTGACAATTCTAATTGATTAGGTGCATCACGTATTTGTACAAAACTGACACTCTTTATGCAGGAAGTATCAAATGCACCTGTATGGATATGCTTGACACTGGCAAGCTATTTATATCTATCTTCAGCTAGTGGCGTCCCACTTTGATGGAACATATGAGCAATCATGATTCATGAAGATAGTGATATCACTATGCATTCATTTCAGTTATTCCGTTCATACATAGCTAGATTTGATTGCTAAATGAACTTTAGAAAGCCATGAATGAATGAAGGAGTATTGAACGACTTGGCACTTACGATATAGTTTTAATACTCTAACGGCAAGTGAGCTGAATCCACATTGAGGAAGTTCAGGCACTCCTTTCATATAAAGCATTACAGGGTTGTCCTTGACGTCCTACGCCAGAAACATACCAGAATTATTTAACGTAAAGGACAATTAACCTTCGTCCAGATGTAAGGATGGGCAACGGTTATGGCAGGTGGGTAACCACAGTTATTTATCCATAACCGTTTATTTCCATACCCGTATAACCGTTTACCCGTTCGGTAATTGTCTAAACGGTTATACCCATACCCATAACCGTTTATAAACGGTTAACCATACTCATAACCGTGTACCAATTTAATCACAACCGTTTAATACCCGTTTACCCATTTATCATTTTTAAACCCGTTTATCCTTTCTTTTTCACCATTTACTCCTTTTTCACCTGTCTACGTGTTTTTTTTAACAACTTGAAAATTAAAAAAGAAAAATTTGTCATAATTTTTTTTTTCTAACAATTAAACACCGTTATAGGTACATTCATCATACATTTCCGCATTTTAATTTTTTAAATCTTTATACCATTCCAATAATTGAAATAATAATTTACAGACGATATTTTTAACTTTTAGCAATGAAGGTAATATAAAATTTGCTAAGTATTCTTGGGTCACGAAAACTGTTAAAAGACAGTATTCTTGGGTTATTTAACTCGGAATGTAAAATATTAACATAATATATATAATGGACTATGATGACACACCCCGACCCGGAATGTCTACTTGGACTCCAAATTGAGTTGTCCTGGCCGACACCTGGAAGGTGACGAAGCCATAAAGTTTAGTGATGTGGAAAAAGTGAATAAATTAAACCTAAAAGTGCCTAATCAAAAGAGTGCGCGGGTGAGCGGGATTGAACCCTTTTCACACGTGATGTCAGAGCATAAGACAATATAGTAAATAGGATGATGGTTATACCACTGAAGGTAACCTTCTCCTGAGATTTGCTAGAATCCTCGTATACGCGTAAACACAGCTACTAAACCTGGAGGGGCGAAAAACAAAGTTGAGTGGGTAGCAAAACAATGCTTATACGAAAACCTTTATTTTTGAATATACTAACCCCTCGCCGTAAAACAAGTATAGTTTCCTCAAAACATACTACGTAAGTATGAAATCAAATATAACAGCAATATAACTAGAAATATGCCAAGTCATGAATTATCAAATGCCAAAGTAATATAATCATGTGATAATCAATTATAAGTAGTTTGTTCATCATCTAAGCTAGCACACGAGTCGGAACAGCCTAAGGCAATTCTACCCAACAGAACTGGGTGTAATCAATGCGCTCTAGTACTACGATCACACAAAGAGTGGTGCAGAAGCACGGTCACATACAAGTCGGATTGCCTAATGCAATCTACCCGACAGGACTAGCACCCAATTTGGATCCAAGGTGAGCGAATGGTGCGGATGTGAACATACATGTGAAGGACTGGCCCTGGCCCTGGGCGGAGTACTAACATCCGGGTGTAGGAAGATGAGCATGTACAAATATGTATGAATGTCATGACAATGATATCCTAACCATATAGTAGCATTTATCACAATTCATATCACAATATCGAATACTAGGCAATATAAGCGTAAAAGTGAAGTAACTACGCATTTAGGGAAACTATCAATATGTATAGGTATAAAATAAAATGCCCACTCACAGAGACTTCGCCGCTGACGAGCCACGCAACCTAGCGAAGATGCAAACACCACTAATAATTGCCCCTAAGCACATAAATGTACAATTAATAAAACTATATTATAACGATTGAATTTGGGAAAACGGACGTCAAAAATGGATTCAGGACGTCGAATTACCCTAAGAAGGGTCCCGCTTAAATTTCCTGAAGGACGGAATGTTCCCTGACGGATGGAATATTCCCTAACGGAATATTTCATCTGGGTTAAGGGTTATTAGGTTGGGTTAGTTTAATAGGTTGGACTTAAGGGTTTTAGGCCTAAAGGCCTAAACTAAAAGGGTTTAGGGTTTAAAATGCATGAGCTTAAAGCCCTAAAAGGAAATGGCCCAAAAGCCTTTAATTAACCAAATAATAATAATAAAAAAAAGGGTTAGGTTGGGCTGCCCAGGGTTTTGGGCTTGGCAAGAATGGCCCAAAGGGCCTGGGTTTGGGTTGTTGCTCGCCGGAGCTAAACGGAAGGGAAGGCCGGATTCAGCAAAAAAACTGAACAACCTTTAAACGTTAATAACGTTGTCAATACTCAACGAAATTGAGTTATTCAAAAATGAAAGTTGTAGTTCTCAAAGAGACGAAGAGAATGGTACCTTGCATGACATCTAACTCGTCGTGGTTTGGCCGGAAATCACCTCGAAAGCGTGGAGGTCGCAAAAAAACTGGGTAAGATTCAAATGAGTATAACTTCTTCAATACTCAACGACTTTCGGTGAAAGAAAAAGGAAAGTTGTAGTACTCAGTGAGACGAAGAAATTGATACCTTGCACGCTGGCCAAATTGTCGTGGTTTGGCCAGAAATTGGCTCGAAAGGCACGGGTCAAACTTGAACTTCTCGAAACCGAGTTGTTTCACGTCAAAGCTTCCTCAAACCTTGACTAGGGACCGTAGGGAGTTGTGTAGAGGCTTTCCCAGGTCCTAAAACATCGTGACTCGGTTGAAAACACGTCGAACTCAACTCGTCCGAGTTCGGAACAGTGAAGATTTGGGGTTGGTCTTCCTTGTTGCAGAGAAAAGGGTGAGAGAGAGACATTCGGGGAGAGAGAGAGAGTGACTTGCATTTTCTGATTGGGTGAAGGTTTGTGGAAGTGTGATCACTAATTGGGTGCCAAAATTGAGGAAAGGCACTTGATTGGCTAGGAGGAAAAACAGGAAAAATGAATGGAGGAGAAGGTTTTGGAAGATATTTGACTGGTGAATGACAAGGAAAAGGCACGGGGTAGGTTTTAAAGAAAGCTCGGGGTAAATTTTCAAATTTTCTATAGTAAAAGGGAATGAAACCTATCCGTAACAGTGTTATTACATTGGTAGAAATTCTCGGACACTCGTAATAATGTGTACAATTTAATTGCGATAGCGAGAAATAAAATAAAAGCGATATAAATACGTCCATGTCACTTGCCAATAAGGGCGTAATAGTCATTTCACATAGTCGGAAATAAATTACATAAATAATATAGGGACGGGTCGTCACACATGAAATTTAAAGTGGTTAAAGAAAACTATATTATATTAGCTATAGAAATCATGAACTATGGTCAATAGCATTGATCTAAGTTTTGTCCGATAGGGAACATGATTTGTGTTAATTTTACATATATAAAATAAATGGGTAAATGGTTACCCGTTTATAACCGCGGTTAATACCCATAACTGCCAATTTAAATTTCACAGGTAAACGGTTATACCCATAACCGTTTATTTATCTAAACGGTTACCCATAACCATAACCGTGAAATTTAAATGGACGGGTAACCGTGGTTACCCATAACCGATGGGTATTTGCCCATCCCTATCCAGATGACAAAGGGAAGATAAAAACTTATGTTAAGAAGATTGGTTTGGCATACATACCTGTTCAACAAGGCCTTCAAACTAAGGTCAAAACTCTCAAGTTTATTAGTTGGTTTAAAATCATCATGCGTGTCGGGCTCATTTGGCACACTGGTATTGTATCTCATGCCACTGGGATAAAAGGATGCAGGTGCCTACCACCAAAGAAACCATTAAATGTTATCATCAACAAGTATGAAGCATACATGAACCAAATTCAAAACATGCCGCGGATTAATGTGTTGTTACAAACATATACACTCGCACAGATACGCACACATTCCTATACATGGCCTGGTAAAAAATGCAAGCATATTGTTTTATACAATATTTAGGGCCTTGTATTTAGACCTCGTATAAATACTCGAAGGACTTAAATGTAATTATGTAATAAGAGAAGGGGCAAATATGTAATTAGGGAAGGAGCCTTTATTCTATAAAAGGGTCTCCTCACCCTCACAAACCCTAAGTCTCTCCTATCTAGAGCAAGACTCTCACACTCTCTCCCTCACAAATACTCTCAGATAAATACAATCAGTGTGGACGTAGCCTAAACCTTGGGGTGAACCATGATACATCTTGTGTTATTTACTTTCATGCAGATTCACGGTCGAATTTACGTTGTTCCAAGACCTCCGGTTTTGTGCATTAACATTTGGCGCCGTTTGTGGGAATCGATCCGAAAAGTTGTGTCGGTTCTCTTTCATTTTTTCATCTCACCACTGTGAATCTGCAAAAATCCCAAAAGCCTTATACCGGCAAGCTTCTGAAAAATCCATCTTAGAGTAGTCACCCCGTAAAAGCCAAGGCAGCAGCCAGAGCAAACCCAGCCAAAGGCTCCGACAAACATAAACCCAGCAAAAAACAGAAGTGGGCTGAAAATAAGCAGAAGCAGCGAGCTTAAAACCAACAGCATCACCGAAGCCAAGAAGCTCAACCCGTCCTCTGATTACTAAGCCAGTGAAAGTACCCAAAAGCACTTTTATGCTTGAGGTTTTGATATCTGTTGTCGCGCCCTGAGACTTCCACCACCACTGACGTCCTCATCTTTCTCTCTCCTCCCTTCCCTGGAGGCTAGCAAATGCGTGATCCCACTGGCCGTCTACATCTTCCCGATCCGCTTCACTGCCAAAATCTGGATTTGCCCTTTCTGCTACTAGCGCAAAAATCCACGTCTCTGAGCCCATCTGGATCTGCCCTTTCTGCTACTAGGCAAAAGACCCTGACGTCTTTGGAGAGCAGATATCCCCGCTCCCTGAGAACACAGACGAGCTTATGTTCGAGAATTCGTGGCCTACGGTTCCCTCGCCTCCCCAGAAGCTGCGTCCTGTCAGGGGCATCGACGCCAGGTCTCCAATGGACAGTGAAAGAAAGCCGGAGGATGTTGGTCCGACCAAAGTTGGGTCGGGAGATGAGGTAGAGGACGAGTCCAGTTCATCATCAGACGATGAAAGAGCCCCGAAGAAGAACAACATCGTCAACACCGCCGCCATTCTCCCCGGCCTCACCCATCTCCCCCGGCGCCTCCCTTCCCTGCACTACGGATACCTCACTGGTCGGCAGAATCATGCAGCTTGCAAGCTTTAAACTTTGGAGCCAGAGCAGTACGAAGGTCATTGGGCTTTCAATCATACTTTGCTTGCAATGTTTTAGTCAGGCAGATTCGGATAGAAGGTAAAAATCAGAACTATAGCCTAAAAATGTGGAAATGAGGATTCAAGAGGTGCCTTGGTTGTTCTTGAAGGCTTAGATCGGTGTGGGAAGACGACACAGTCTGCTAGACTAGTCACAAACTTAGAGAGGTTAGGATATTCAGCTGAGTTGTGGAGGTTTCCTGACAGAAATGCCTAAAAGGAGAAGGACCCAACACTGGTTTGCAGATCTGGATCAATTTAAACTGACATTAAATATTAAGATTGAAGAGATTGCCATCAGATGATCAATTTAGCCCGTCAAATATGCAGATCCAGAAGGACCCAACACTGTTTTGCAGATTGAAGAGATTGCCTTCATTACCACCGACTACATGACCTATATGTTCAAGTACAACACAGTGCATGGCGCATGGAAGCACCATGAGCTCAAGGTCACTCCAAGACCCTCCTCTTCGGTGAGAAGCCTGTTGCTGTTTTCAGAATTAGGAACCCATAGGAGATCTCATGGGGTGAGGCCGGTGCTGACTGTGTTGTTGAGCCTATTGGTGTTCTCACCGACATGCAAAAAGCAGTTGTCACTTTGGCTGCAATTATTACCACAGAAATATCAGTGTCCAAGCAGTTGTCACGTTAGAGAAAAAGCAAAAGAAAGCAAGTGGGTGGTATCAAAGCTATCCTGTTACGTTTTAATATGCAGGGAATGGAAAAGAGAAAGAAAAGCAAAAGAAGAAAAGCAAAAAAAATTTCTTATTATTATGATTCCTTTTGTCTACCAGGTGAAGAGACAGAGAGTGCGACGGAAAGCAGAAAGCAAAAGTAAGGAATAAACACCCTACCAGAATGATGTGATTTATTTTCCTTACTTTAAAATGATGTAATTCATTTTTCTTATCTCTCGGAGACATCTGTATAAACCTTATCAAAGGGTAATAATACCAAAAAAAAAAAAGCAAAGCCCAAAATAAATGGGCTGGCATGTTGTGGAGGGCGAAGGCCCATAAGCCCAAAATAGCTCCAACCAGGTGATCAAAAGTACACCCAGTACTTCAAAATTATTCGGCAACCTGCCGCTATTACCACCAATCAGTTGATTAAAAGTACGCCCAGTACTCCAAAATTATTCGGCAACCTGCCGTTATTACCACCAACCAGGTGATGAAATGTACAACCCGTACTCTAATATCATTTGGCAACTAGCCATTCATGCCACCAACCAGGTGATGAAATGTACAACCCGTACTCTCCTTCATGCCACCAACCAGGTGATCAAAAGTACGCCCAGTACTTCATATTATACATGAGCATTATTCATGTTAATCATACATAAACATTCATAAGCATCACTCATATCAATCATACATAAACATTCATGAGCATCACTCACGTCAATCAAACATTCATGAGCATCACTCATGTCAATCAGCTTCAAAAGCTTCATTTACAAAAGCTCTAGCTTCGAAAGCTTCATTTACAGAGCTACAGCTTCAAAAGCTTCATTTACCAAAGCTCTAACTTCAAAAGCTTCATGTACAGAGCTACAGCTTCAAAAGCTTCATTTACAAAAGCTCTAGCTTCAAAAGCTTCATTTACAGAGCTCTAGCTTCAAAGCTTCACTTGCAAAGCTTCACCTACAAAGCCTCAGTGCAGGGTATACAAATATCGCCTCCGAACAACCGCCATTTCGGCCCACACATGGATTCAATTTGAAGTCTCCAGCCAACAGACTCTATTGATCGAAGACTTGAGAGACTACATTATGTACCATATATTGGGCCTTAACTGGGCCTCATGAAAAATACTTAGGGGACTTAGCCCATTACTTATGTATTGAGGAGCAAGCCCTTATTCTATAAAAGGGACTCCCTCACTTTCATTAGAGAGCACCCATTATTCATGTACTGAGGAGCGAGCCCTTATTTTATAAAAGGGACTCCCTCACCATCATTAGAGAGCAACGCCGCCAGCTGAGCAACCGCCTCGTCGCGAGCATCACTCCTAACCCATCACTTATGTATTGAGGAGTGAGCCCTTATTCTATAAAAAGGACTCCCTCACCACCATTAGAGAGCATTGCCGCCTACTGAGCAACCGCCTCGCCGCGAGCATCAACTCTAGCCCATCATTTATGTATTGAGGAACGAGCCCTTATTCTATAAAAGGAACTCCCTCACCATCATTAGAGAGCATCAACTCTAGCCCATCATTCATGTATTGAGGAGCGAGCCGAGCCAACCAAGGCAACATAAGCTACGAGCCGAGCAGCCTCGCAGCGTGTGCTACTTCTAGTTGAGCGTCATTTCAGATTGAGCACTGCCTCATATCTAGCATCAGTTCGAGACAGCATCTAGTTACTTCGGCCCACACATGGACTGAATTAGGGGAGGAGCCCTTATTTTATAGAAGGGCCTCCTCATCCTCACAAACCTTAAGTCTCTCCTATCTAGAGCAAAGCTCTCACACTCTCTCCCTCACAAATACTCTCAGATAAATACAATTAGTATAGACGTAGCCTAAACCTTGGGGTGAACCACGATACATCTTGTGTTATTTACTTTCATGCAGATTCACGGTCGGATTTACGTTGTTCCAAGACCTCCGGTTTTGTGCATCAACACATATAACATATACAATAAAGAGCAATGTTTCTTGCCACACAATCTAATATATGCCATGTGATCAAAATCTCAATCCATATGACAAGCAAGGTTTAGGGTATGTTCGAACATAGATAATCCAATTAACTCTGTACCGAAACATAATTTCAATCACAAACAGGCAAGATTCTAAAAAACACTAGGTGCTAGTCGGGCGGCAAGCTGGGGCCTAGCGCCTAGGCGCCTAAGTGGATTTAAGTAAATTTATTATATTATTGTATAAATAAGTGTCTATTTATACTTAAAAAATATACATAATTGTATTAAGATATGCAAAATAAAATGACATATAGGTTATAAAATGGAGAAATTAGGTTCTCATCCTTCCTTTTACTATTCATTTTTAATTTTTGATTAAGGTCCTTGGGTATTAATAACATCATTAATTATTTCAATAATAAAGTATTTTTTATTTCTAAATATATTCATTTAATGTTAAAAATGTTACAATTAGTATATTTATATTTATGACTAAATTTTTTATCATGTATTTTTAGTTTTAGTTTGTACCCATTTTTAATTTGTAACCCTTTTTTAATTTGTACCAATTTTCTTTTCAGTTTTAATTTGTACCCATATATTAATTTCCTTTTGTGCCCATATTTTTCAAAGTTTTATTTGTATTTGTACCCATATTTTTTTTAAATTTATTTGTACCCTTTTTTTTTGGCCAAATGTACCCATGCGAAATATATGTACCCATTCATGTAATTTTTTCAAATTTTTAATCTTAAAATATACTCATTCTTAAATATACCAATTTACTATATGTAAAATGTACCATTTTTTTTTTTATATAAAATCTATTCAATTTTTTTCTAATCCATTTTTAAACTTATATGGGTACATTTTTTTTTCTTTGATTTTAAAATGTATTCATATTAAGGTTAATCGAAGAAATTTACTAATGTTATTAAGCTTAATATCCTTTTTTTTTTGTTGTGATTTTGAAGAATGTACCCATGTTTTGATACAAATCATTTCCTTACAATTACTACTAGTAGCCAAATGTGGGAAACCTAATCAAATTCTTACAGTTGTGGCAAGACGAGAAGCCGAGCCGGGAAACGAAAGCCACTTGAAGACCAAATTCGAAAGAGACCTCGCCATGCTGTGAACCCTAAGAACATGAAATCCTGTTTGGTTAGTTGGAAAACGAAGTAAAGTTGAAAGCTTTTTACAGTAGCATTCATTCATAAAAATCGATGTGAAAATCTTGTTTGCTTAGTCGGAAAGCAAATGGAAAGTCGGATTCGGAAACTTTATCGATTTTCCTGGTAGAAAAAGGAGGAGAGAGGTTGAACCACCGTGGAAGGAGGCAGGAGTGATGCGTAAAATAAGTTAACACACAAATTAAACTCTCTTTTTATCAATTGTAGTAAAGTATGTAAGTAGGGATCGTTCTAGGCCGGGGATTAGGAGGGATTGCTAAATCACTTGGAAACTGACTTGAAAACGTAAAAACAAAGTTTAAAACACTAACTAGACTCAAAGAATGCAAAACTATACTTTACAACACTAAAACAAACCAAAAGACTCAAAACAGCCCCTAAACACTCAAAACTACCTTAAAAACACAATCTGGGCAATTTTGGGACTCTCACAAACTTGGACAAATTTTGGTTTTCTAATGAACTAAAACACTTAAAAACATAATCTAAGACAAGTTCTAATTAATATGACTCAAAGAAATAAGATGGGGTTGATTTTCGACGAAAATAATTAAATTAAGACAAGAACAAAGTAAACAAATTCTTAGACAAATTTAAGTGAATCAAAACAGATTGTAAAATGAATTTGAATGAAACTTATGGATGGAAGGCTAGCTAGGAGGTTCTTCTCCACACATGTCACACTTGCATACAAAACGATTTCCAG